AGAGGGAGGGAGGGAGGGAGAGAGGAGAATGTGTGCATGGTGGGATTGAAGGCCTTCTAATGACCCCAACATGGAAAAAGACAAAATCGTGAGCCAGAGTCAAACTGAATTAAATAACCTTCCCCTTCCAGATCGTGTCAACTTGATTTTATTTGTGAGGATTTGCCCTTGGCTTTTGGGAGAAGTGTCTTTGAGGAAAAAGCAGCAATGATTTACCCAACTAAACCATCTATCCACAATTCTGTGTGTCTCCGGCAGATGGTTCCTATGGGCAGATGGTTCCATGCACTAAGATGGATTCTACAAGTGTAAGATAACACTGATCCTAAGAAACTGATGTAGGATTTTGTTTTGGTTTTGGCGATACTAGGAACTGAACCTAGAGCCTTTGCACTGAGCTTCATTCCCAGTTCTTTTTATTTTCTGTTTTGAGATGGGGTCTTGCTAAATCTCTATGTTGCCCAGGGTGGATTTAAACTTGCAATCCTCCTACCTCAGCCTCTCAGAATGCAAGGATTATAAGCATGCATCACTATGCCCAACTAGGAAATTTTTCTTTTATCAGTGTATCACCCAGTAGCTATTTTGTTTTGTCTCTGAGTCAGGGTTTTACTATGCAATTCAAGTTGGCCTTGAAATCACCTTGTAGCTAAGGCTGGCCTTGAATTCACAGTGATTCTCCTGCCTCAGCCTCCCTGAGTGCTGGGATTACAGGTGCCCGCCCCCAAGCCCAGATCCACGCAGTAGCTTCTGAAGGGGCAAGGATTATGTTGAACCAACAGTCTCCAACAAAATAAGCTTTGTGGTTTTGACAAATTGCTCACTGAGTCTTTTTTCCCTCTTTCTTTCTTTCTGTCAGTGCTGGGGACCCAATTTAGCCTTGCATATGCAAGTGCTCTACTACTAAGATACACCCCAGCCCTTCTCTGAAATCTTTATCTAAAAAATTTTAAGTGGATGAAAGAACAGGAATCCATTAAGAGGCCTGATATTTTAAGAAATAAACGGAGGCCTGGCGTGGTGACACATACCTACAATCCCAGCACTCAGGAGACTGAGGCAGGAAGATCCTGGTGAGTTTAAAGTCAGCCTGGCCTACATAGTGAGTTCAAGGCCAGTCTGAACTGCAGAGCAAGACCTTGTCCCTCCCATAAACAAGATAAAAATAAATGAGTAAAATAGTTGTTGAATGGTGTCCATAGGTAGTAGATCTGATATTACCACGTGGGTTCTGAGGTTTCCCAAGGAGCCCAACTTCAACTCACCCCACCCATAGGTGTTCGCTGATTCTTGTCACAGAAAAAAAATAATTTTCAGGCTATAACAGTAGGGGGCACAGAAAAGACTTATTTAGCAGAAAAATGGTACACAGAGGGGAATGTGGGGCTTGGGAGTGAGCTGCGTCCGGCCCAGGGGCTTGTTTTGCCCGCCTTTCTTTTTAAAAATTATTTAGAATTTTTTTGAGACGGGGTCTCACTATGTAGCTCAGACTGTCCTTGCACTCACTGTGTAGCCCACTCACGGTGCCTCCCACCTCAGCCTCCACCTGCTGGAGTGTAGGCGTGTGCCACCACACCCTGCGTTTATTACGTCGTTATGCCCATAAATAGATAATCAGACAGATTTTGTGTTTTCCCAGCAGAAAGGTTAGAGAAACTTTTGTGTCCTGAAACTGTAGTGTTTCTTAAAAGTACAATTTTAAAATTATGTCTCCTTTCTACCTACCTTTATTTCTTATAACTCATGCAGGACGGAGGGTTTTACAGTCAAGTAGTAAGAGACAAAGAGAAAACAGTAGTGCCCTTTGTAAAATAAAATCCATTGTTGGGGGGAATACAAATCCCCAATAATCTCCAAAAAGAATCTCAAACGTAAAAATCTACTCTTATGAAATTAAGTGCCCGTCTCAGTCACTGGTTGCCGGTATCTTGATGAAGAAATCATTCCTAGCCTATCTTTGTTCATTGATTTGCATATATTATGCAAATAAGAGCTACGCAAAGAACGCCTATGCTTCTCTGGGCCCTCGGATTGGTCTCTCTATTCACTTCATTTGCATGACGCGATTTAATAAACGAAAGGCTCCCCCACCTCTCCGGTGCCTTAACCTCTCTCAAAGGGATGCGTGAGCCCGGGCTCTTAACGGGTCTAGGTACTCTACCCTTTAACAGCTAACGCTGCCCGTCACCCAGTCCTCTCAGTCTCCGCTGAAAGCACCTCCGACCTTCCACCTCTTTCTTCCACTTTTGGCGTCCCTACGTCTCTCCACTCCCTCCTTTCCACGGACGCACGACGCACGCTCCGCCTCTTTCTCCCACCATTCTCGTGTAAATTGTGCGCCCCAACCGCCCGGCCGACCGGCGTCGCATTCCCGCCCCGTCTACACGTTTCAACGGCCGACGCCGGGGGCTCTTCCCCGCAGCCAATCAGCGCCTTCGCATCTATAACTCCCTCCTCTTTATGCAAATAACCCCCGAAAGCGCCGCACACCTTTTTTAAAAATAAGGACAGCCCTGGAAGTAAAGAAGGGTAGGCAGGAAGGGCCCCGCCCTTTATGTAAATAAGGGGGCGTGCCCAGTCGCGGAGGGAGGCGGGAGTGGGGGGGCACTCCCGGGGGCGGCGGTTGCCCGGATGGGCCGTTAGTCGGAGCCTAGCCGCGGAGTGAGCGAGGGAGACGGGAGGAGCCGAACCCGGCGCCATCCGCCGCCATCCGCCCCCGCCCCACCGCCATCCCGCCCCGGGGAGCCGCTAAACCCGGGCCCCAGACCCCCGCGCACCCGGCCAGGTGAGTCTGGGCGAACTGAGCGCTGACGCCCTTTTCC